CACGTCGTTAGATTGCGGTCTGCGCTCAAGGTTCCAGCTCCAGCCTCTGACACGGAGCTCAGAGAGGGTCCTGGGGGTTTCCTAGAATGGGCTCCACGTGGACAGGGAGGCGGTGGGAGCGCATGGACTTCTTGGGCCGTTCCCACGGCGAGCGAGCCACGGGGTCCACGCGTCCCAGGGCTCCTCACGGCTACACTGGCCCCTGGGCTTAGGGATCAGGACTCAGGGGAGGGGATTCTTTTTACTCCGCGTGTACGTCCTCTCGCAGGCTGAGGCCGCCGGTGTCCGTCACTGGCTTCGGTGTGAAGTGGCCCCCGTACCCGGGACCAAGGCATCAGGATGACCGAGCGGCTGAGTGGGAGCCCCTGTGTGGCTGCCTGCCGTCGGGAGCCTGGAGCCCGGAACCGGGAGGACCGCCCCGGCCTTGGCTGCGCCTCTGACTTTATAAAACCCGCTCTGCCTTTTCAATCGGACACGCGGGCAGGGACGGCGGAGCAGGACCCCCGTCTGTGAGGATCATGATCCCCGAAGCACCGTGGAAACCGCAGGACCCGGAGGCCCAGGCCCACGGCCGCCTCTACGCGCCCCGTGCTCCGCGAGGCGAGAATCGGCGCAGACGTTGCTGCGATGAAACTGTGATGATCAGTTTAACCACAACCTGCTCACCGTGGTCCCCTGAGCACAGGCTGCAGGAGTCGGTCTCACAACATGCCTGCCCCCCCCATGCTCGGTGCGGGGCTGGGGGGGGGGCACGGCCATATTTCATACGCCTGCTTGGTGCCGAGAGCTTCAAATACGTTACCTCACTAAATCTCTATTAAAGATGTATTTTTATTGATTTCAGAGAGGAAGGGAGAGGGAGAGAGAGAGAGAAACATCAATGATGAGAGAGAGTTGTGGATCGGCTGCCTCCTGCTGCTATCGAGCCCACAACCCAAGTGCCCCGACCGGGAATCAAACCGTGACCTCCTGGCTCATAGGGCGACGCTCCACCTCGAAGCCGTGCCGGCCGGGCAGCCTCGCTGACCCTTCGCAGCAGCCCTGACACAGTGTGTTCCTGCCAGCGCCACGCGACGAGCTGGCCCCGGGCTCCTCGCTGCTCCGGGAGGGCCTCGCGCTGTCAGGGCTGCCACCACAGACCTTGCTCCGTTCCATCTGTCAGCACCTCGGGCCCCTCCTCGAGTGCAGCTGGCAACCCTTCCCTTTCTGCGAGGTATCGACACGCATGCATCCGCCCCCCCTGCCCCCAGGGGGTGGGGTCACTCTTAGAAGTGGCTGCCGGCCCCGTCGAAGGTCCCGTGTGGACACCTGTCACCCACGGCCTCTCTGAATAATGACGGTATCGCAGCGCACGCGACACGGGCCATGCAGACACACGCTGTAGGTCCATATCCCACACGGACGGGCCACAAATTCTTTCCGTCGAGCCAAGGGGTGTCCAGGCGGAATCGGGCTAATGAGAAATACAACGAACCCTCCTAGAGTTAGTGACACGAGAACCAAAGCTTTCCGAACCCGCTGACCTGGCTCTCAGTGCCCCTGCACAGCACACGCGGCGGAGGGACCTTCCTTTCCCCAGCGCCTCCTCCCCGCCTCCGGGCTGAGCTGAGGCACCTGCGTGGCTGCCTCAGGACCCACTGACCATGCCAGGCCTGCGTGGCTCAGTTGTTGAACCAGGAGGGTTGTCAACCTATGACCCAGAAGGTCCCGGTTCGATTTCCAGTCAGGGCACAGGCCCGGGTTGTGGGTTCGCTCCCCAGTGGGGCGTGCGGGAGGCAGCCCATCCATGATCCTCTCATCATGGACGCCTCTCTCTCCCTCTCCCTTCCTCCCTGAAACCAATAAAATATATAAAAATAAGTGAATAAACACATTTGGCTGTTCCGCCTTCTGCTGGCTGTGAAGGAGGGGTCTCTCGGCGTTCGGTCCGGCTGCCTCCCCTGCAGCGCCTCTGCCTGTGGCTGCCTCTCCTGAGTGTTACGAGCGGGTTGGTGCCGAGAACGACACCCACAGGCTCACGTCTGCTTTGACGACTCGGATTTGCTTCCTCGGAGGCGGCTGTCGCGAGAGCGCAGAGGGTCTGTCCTCCAAGCAGGACGTGCATCGGACAGACCACGACGCATCCTGAACAGCGGCCTCGTGGGCGGCTCTGGACGGGTGCCACGTCCTGACCACGTCCTGACCACGTCCCACAGCCCACAGCCCACAGCCCCGCAGTGGCGCTCCTCCTGCCCAAGCCCACAGAGC